TCTTTCCTGTCCAAGCTTCAAAAGGTGTGATATTGACAGCCACTCTATTAAGTATATAATTGGCTGTTTTAATGGCTTCACCTATAGAAATTCTGGAAGATATGCGTATGAAAACATGCTCCTTATCATGTCTTTAAGAGTTCTATTTCTTCTTTCAGCTACTCCATTCTGTGATGGTGTACCTAGTGTTGTATATTGAGCCACTATACCGTCTTGCTGCATATACAATGCAAATGGTCACTTGAGTTGCCCTTGTTCTATGTATCTCCCAAAGAATTCACCTCCACGATCGGATGTTACTATTTTGATTTGCTTATTTAATTGTTTTTCAACCTCAACTTTGAAAATTTTAAAACAATTTCAAGTTTGAGATTTTTCAAAGATAAAAAACAAGTAAGTTTATCTTGAAAAGTCAACAATAAAGAGAAGGAAGTAAGAGTGTCCACATATCGTTTTTATTGGAAATGGACCACACAAATCTGTGTGAATGATCTTCAAGAGATCACTACTTCTTTTAGCTTTGTTCTTGTTGGTTAAATTAGTGGTCTTGCCCTTAAAGTAATCTATGCAATCCTTGAAGTCATCAAGATCAACATTTGACAACATACCATCATTCTTAAGTCTCAACATTCTGTCTTTGAAGATATGCCCCAATCTTCAATGCCAAAGCATGGAAGATGTATCATTAGTGAGCATTCTCTTTGCTGCATAATGCACAATATTGAAACAATCATGATAATATGTACATTTAATTTGCCAAAGGTCACCATTTGGGAAAGCATAGCCAATAGCACTGTCAAATTGGTTCTTAAGATTAAAGTTTATTTGATTGGCACCTCCAATATAAGGGAAACCATTTTTAACAAACCGAGTCACTAAAAACAAATTCCTTCTAAGTGAAGGTACATAGAGTACATTGTTCAATGTTAAAATATAACCAAATGACAGTTTCAACATGATAATACCAACTGCTTCAACCATGACTTTATTTTCATTCCCAACATAAAACATTTTAAGACTCTCTACTTGTCTCCTTCTGGCTTTAAAATCCCTACAAAGAATTCATTATATGGATAGAACATCTAGTGTCAAACCACCAAGAGTTTTGAGGTACAAAAACCATATTTGATTTCATAGTAACAAAAACATAAAAAACAGTCATACATTTCCTAATTAACCATGCTTTAAAAGCTAGGCAATTCTTCCTTAAATGTTCAGTGGATTGACAATGATAGCACTTTTTAAAATGAGGTTTTTGAACCTATAAACCAAGTGAGGTAGATGAACTAGCAGTTTTGAGGGATACAACAGAACACTTGAACTGTTTCTGGGGACCAATTGTAGCATTTGGAGTGGTTCGAGATCTAAAGGGTTTGTTGCCCTTATAATTATCATTTTCGTTCCCCACGATCATTTTCCCTTTGCCTTTGCCAATATTGAGAAGATTAGCTAGTTCCATTCTTTTAGCTTTGGATTTCTTCAACCTCTCTGCCTCTTGACAACAAATGGCAATGAGTTGATTGACACTCCATGTTTCTTTCTAAGTGTTGTAGTTGACTTTGATACGGTCATACTCTCTAGACAAATATTACAAAGCTATATGCACCAGAAATTGTTCAGTGATGCCAATTTCCATTGCATTCAATTTGTTGGAAATATTCACCATCTTCAACACACGCTCACTTACACTGCTTGACCCATCATGCTTGCTGTTGATGAGTGCAAAAAGTGATGTACCCACTTCTGCCTGTCAAACCTCTTAAACTTTTCCTCAATCCTAGCCATATAGTCCTTGGCTGAGTCACAACTGGATATACCACCTATACCACCTCTGATGTGTTCTTCCATTCCATTTTGCATAATGAGAAGAGACATTTGATTGGCTCTTTCCCATTTGGCAAAATGTTCCATTTCTTGAGCAATGCTTCCATCAACTAAAGTTGTTGGTTGAGGAGTCTTGAAAGCAACGTTGAACTTGAGCATCCCAAAGTTCATTTCAATATGTTGCTTCCAAGTGTTGAAGTTGTTACCATTCAACTTCTCAATGTTAGCAAGGTTAAGCATACTAAACCCTGCATCATGAGACATTTGGATTGAAAATTCATGAGTATTGTAAACAAGAACTAGTCTTAATTGTCTTGTCACACTTAAACTATAAAACCAGTTACACCCAATTTGGGCAAGACACTGTCCATAAAGCATATGAATTTCAACTTCATTGCATAGGCCAAGTACAAAGGACATAATCTTATGTAATACTACACATTTAGGCAAGAAGAATCACATAAGTACTTGATTTCATCACTTACTATACATCAATTCATAACAATCCCAGTAAATAAATCTCTTTGGAAATTTCTTACGGTAAATTACATAATACTCCTTCAAGTTTAAGGTCTATTACAACCTTATACAACATCTTTAAAATATTTCACTTTCATACCTCACCAACTATTTTATTTCAGTATAATATCTCTGTTACATTTTCCTTCCATCGATCTCTTAAGAGCTGAAGTGGCTGTCACATGTGTGCCAGTAGCAAAAAAATAATTTTTTAATTTAAAAAAAAAAAAAAAAAAAAAAAAAAAAAAAAACTGAAAAACCCAGAACCCACCCCACCTTCCCTGTAACCCTTCCCCACCCCTCTTCTCCCTCCCAAGCCGAGCCTTCCAACCACCTCCCTCTCCTTCCCTTCAACCCTTATTTTTGGGCAGTGGTTTTCTCCAGAACAAACAATACAATTGCGAGTGCAGTGGATTTAACGGAGGTGTGCATATAGTGGTGCAAGAGGATCTTGTACGGCTTGACAGATATGGGTCAGGTGCGGATTGTTCAGGCGCGTCTGGCAACCGTAGGTGGTGGACAGCGGCGGCGAGAACTGATTGCAGTGATGCGGGACAGAAGCGGTGCAGCAAGGATGGCGTCGGATCAGGTGTGACACGGTCTGAAGCAGTAGCGGAATGCGAGTCGGATCTAGCCCTCGATCAGATTTCTAAAACAGAGGGCCGACAGGTTTGCGGATGCCGGTTGCAGGAGGTCGTGTTCTGGTTTTTCTAGTTGCTGCGCTAGCGTGGGTGGATGGTGAGGCGCGCAACAGACTGGTATGGAGTATGGACGGTCTAGGTTGAAGGTGTGACGTGGCTCGGCTTTAGCGTGGCTCTGGCGCGGTACGGCTCCAGCGGCAGCGACGTCAACTGGCTCTAGTGCGGCCCCTGCTCCGATTGCTACCAGCAATCTGACCCGGTTTTCAACCCGGCCGGATCTTCCATCTACAGCCAGCTCTTGGGCTCGATTAACAAAATCACGTTGGATGCGGACACGATAACGAGGGATTAGGTGAAGAGAGTGGAGAAGAGGGGTGGGGAGGGGTTGCGGGGAAGGTGGGGGTGGGTTCTGCGTTTTTCAAATTTATTTATTTATTTATTTTTTTTCGAGAAGATTCAGGTTTAAAAAAAAAAAAATTTTTTTTTACCCCACGTGGTATAAATATGGCAGCCATGTTAACTCTTTACGGATCAATAGATGAAAAATGTAACGGATGTACTATATTGAAATAAAATAGTAGATGAGATATGAAAATGAAATATTTTAAAAATGTTTTATAGGATTGTAATAGATCTTAAACCTGGAAAGATATTATGTAATTTACCGTCAATTCTCAAAATTCGACACATATTCCCATACATATATTTTTGATGCTAATATCATTTGCTGCACCGCGCATTAGTGCAGACTCTATGATAGTTTGACCATATCTCGAGTATTATTGAAATAATATGAACTACACTATCAAAACATAAAAAAAAATAAAAAAACCATGATTATATTTTGCTTTACAGATTAATGGATCTGGCATAAACCAAAAATAAACATCAGGTTATATTTGATCTCACAAATGTATTAACAGCAGCGGAAAGTTCATTATGATCATCATACATATATATGTATAACATAATTAGGTTTGAATGGACTGGCTCTGATACCACATCTAAACCTTTTAGAGATCGATACCTTAAAACCAATGCATATTAGTGTTCAGTAAATCTACGTTGTGCATATGGTCATTAAATGAACATGCATTAACCCTAAATAGTTGTATATAAGGCTAACAACCTAACCTGAGGTTGTAGCCATCTTTAGCACTTGATGAGTTAATTCCTACGAGAAATATTAGCCTTCTCCTCTCCTGTGATCACATTAGAATTCTCTGGTTTTCAATGGGACAAACCAATCTATATGGAACAAAGGATATATCACTGTGAAAAGGGACCAGACATATATGTATGCATTGCAACTGCTTCCTCCCATTAAGTGAGCGGTTGCAATCAGTTGTCAAAGAAACCATAACAGCATCATTCTAATTTTCAAATTAGTTTCTTATATTTTTCCTCCAAATGGTTGTTATCCGGTCACAACCCTAAATAAAGTCTTACTTTATATATAGCTCATGTTACTTGTGTTATTGCACGACTTGGTGTTTGATCATGCTCACTGAAGAAAACCTTACACCCTCAACTAAAATTTCATTATCATTAGCCCCTCAACTTTAATCCAACTGGAGAAATGGTTTCTCAACTTTAACCCAATTTGAGCAATGGTCCCTCAACTCTAACTGAATTGTAGCAATGGTTCTTCCAAAATAACTCATTTTGACAAAATTCTAACGAAATTGATGAAAAAGATCATAGCTATACATTTTGATGAGTTGATGGACTAATGGTCATGAATTTTTAGTTGAGAGACCATTGTTTCAATTTGATTAAAATTGATAGACCATTGCTACAATTTACTCTTTTTACTTCGAACATGACTAGCATTGGTTCATCATGCCAATGAAATTACGCATCATGCTACTCGTTTTGTATTTGAAATTTACGATAATAGGAATTCAAACTTGAATGTAGATGTAGCTCAAAAAATTGGACTTATGCGGCCTAGTTTTATCTTTAACAAAGGGGTAAAGTTGTCTTTGAATAAAACATGCAGCAAACCGGGGGAAAGTCGATTTCTTCCCAAAGTTGTGCTGCAAACCGGTCCAAATTAAAAACCCTCAAAAAGCAAGAAGCTGAAAAACCCTGAATTTTGGCAAGCATACAAATTGGAACAAGAACCAGAGTGTTTTGTACAGAAATGTTTCGAAGAAGATTCCTCTCGTTTCCTTTGGTAATTGGAGCAGCCGTGTAAGCCCATATCTTTACAATTCAATTCGAGTTTGTTGATTTTTCAAAATCGAGCAATACCCTTTGCGTCGCACTGTGTTTATCAGCTGTCCTGCACCTTCTTTATCTCTTAGAACGCTCCATTTGATCTTTTGGGTTTGTGCCAGATTCATTTGCAGATGCATACATTATATTTTCGTTGATTATTTCGTATTTTTTTAACTACCATTATTAGGTTCCTTTGATTGTAAAAACTGCCGAATCATTCACTAATTGTGTTTTTGTTCCAGTATTTGGTTTGGTTTAAAACTGATTGCTGTGAATACTTTAAGAGTTTAAGTAGTTTACTTGGTCTGTATATTGCCTGCCTTAAGTTCTGACATTGTTAATTTTTATAGTCGATTTATAGTCAATTCGATATGTAAAATGGTAGGAAACGGCAATGTGGGAGTTTGGAATATGCAATAGTCACGGATAATCGATATTAAGGGAAAACAAATCTTTATGTGGTGTTTGTTATTGTTTATCATGGGCTTCATATTGCTAGAAGGCGAGACATTTGTATTTAGAGAGCTAAGACATGAGACGTTCCTTCTTTGAGACGCTTCATAGGTAATCAACTAATTCATAATGTAGCTTTCAATGCTGCGTTCATTAGGACAGCTATGTTCAGGTCATGAGTAGGTTCTACAATGACAAACATTGTTTCCAGCAACCCTCTTTTTCTCAAGTGTCGATTGTTTTGCTTCGTTTATTTATAAGTTTTAGTTTGTTTCGTCATTTGCCTTTCCTTACATTTTGTAATGGTAATTTAGGAGCCAGGTTTTGATATAAGGATCTGCCTCTTAAAAGGATCTCAAATTGATATCCGAGATCCTAACATGATGAGTTATTTTAAACCCTGCATGAAATTAATGTATTCAAAACTGCAACTGTCTTTTTAGTCCTATGGAAAAGTCTGGTCAGTAACAACTTCGTGCAGGTTTCATTTTCTTATATCCATTCACGAGGCATATAATTTATTTGATAGTATGGAACCACTAGATCCTCTATGAAGTCAATGAGAGTCTATAGCCTGTCTTTCATTCTGGCATCTATTTACTGGATTGGTGAGGCTTCTCTCTCGCGATACAAGTACTTCTGTCTCTGTGTTTGTGATTGGTTTTTTAACTTCTTAACTGCAATCATAGGCTTTTAGGCTTGTTTTCTTTCTTCTATCCCTTCACTGTATTGCTGAGATTACTGAATTCTTGAGATAGGAATTACACGAGGTAGTAATAGGGAGATCTTGAAGCATTTGGGTACACAAAAAGTGCAGTGGATTTCATAGAAACAATTGAATTACTAAAAATAACTGCATCTCATTTACACTTTTTTTTTATTTTTTCAGATTGTGTATATTGTTCTTTTTACTACAGATATATACGAATGAAGAATCTGTAGATTGAATATATTTTCAGTAATTCCTTATTCTTCTTAATGCATTACATCCCATTTAATCTTGCTACTTTGTTTCCTCTCCTTTGTGTATAGTGAAAATTATCTGACATCAAGACTAGGAGACCTTCAGTCATCTAGGTCTAGTTGATTGTTAATGAGAGAATCTTTAAAAGAATTGCATTTCGTATCAGATAGCAGTTAGTGCTTAGTTTCTTTTCTTGGCTGAAATTTCAGCTGTGAATGTGCTAACAAAGTTTTACTGCTGGAATGTACCATTTTTTCTATTTAATGTAGCTTCCCGAGAGCCGTGGTACTTGGTATGCTGTTAGTGTACCTTAATATTTTCCCATCCAATTTTCAGTCAGTTATAGAAACTTGTATGTGAGTGATCTGATTAAGTGACATTCAAGCTAACCCGACAATTTTACATGAAATTTGCAGGATTGGAGTTGTTTCAGGCAAGGCAATATTTGGACCCCCACTTGATGAGTACTGGAAAAAGAAGCAGCAGGAAGACGTGGCGGCAAAGGAGACTGATGCAAGCTCAAATTAACCAATACTTTCTGGAACTTCTCATGTTCGGTTGTTTTGTAGAGGAGTATAGCGATGGGATGGGAATTGGTTATTAATTCATTTGTTCGCACTTAAACAGTAGGATCACGGCAACAGCTACAGCTACAGGTACTTTTTTGAACGCGTTACGCATGGGATCTCGGACATTTATTGTGATGGAAAACAGAATACTAAACAGGATTGGAAACCGATATCATTGAACTATCGATCATTAGTCTCGGCTCTTCAGGATGGAAGAATTCTGTATAAGACCAGTGCCATTGTCAGAGGAAATTCATTCTACTGGTTAACCATTCCATCCCTTCTCTGAGACGCCATTGTGATCGAGAGCTCAACGATATTGATTTCCGATCCTGTTACTATTCCGTTTTCCATCATGTTGAAACTATCACAGTGGAGGTACTCAAAACTAAGTACCTGCTGAATTGTATTTAATTTGTAACATTTCAATAAATACCTTTTTTTGAGCTTTGCTGATATAAAGAGGAAAATTGCCCTACTATATAAACTTCGTGCAGATTAATAATGAGCTTTCATGATGCTTCCAATAAGTCATTTCTTTCCCATTTTGCTTTGACACTATTATACCTTTATTCTGTCATACAATTGGGCCTTTGATTTATGATTATGATGATTTCATCGACAAAATTGTGTCGGTTTATTTATTAGATCGTAGATAACCAAACGACTTTTGATTTAAGTGAACTTTTGTAGGGATTAGTTTTCAACAATGACCTAAAAAAATGATCATTCGAATTATGAGAAATAGTTCAGAGGGGCCCATTCTTGTGGTTTGCGCCATCTGAAGTTACTAACTGGTTAGCGCATAAGTGCTTACGTATGTATAGTCTTTTAATTCAAATAGAGGGAAGCGAGAGTCAAAACTCTTGTTTAGAATTGGGGTGTAACCAAGCAAGTGATCGACGACTAGAACTCTTGCAAACCTTGACTACTTATGAAGAAGGGTAATTTCTTGGAAATAACATATTAATATTGACCTGTCTGTAGTCTAACCCCCCAACTGAATGCCAATTCTTTGCTGTTGTTTCTTCTTACCAACAAGGCAAGCAAGTTTCCATAATTGGATTGTATTATATAACGGGATTTTCTACCGTACTGAGTACGAGATATTTTTGGTGTTTTAACCAATAGATCTTTGTTTAAAAATACAAAAGTCAATATCTAACGGTTCAAATATCCAGCGTACGAGATTTTTGTTGGATAACTCATAGGTGCATGTGAAGGTAAAGTTTATGATTTTGAAGGAAACCCATCCTTTCTAGTCTTACCATTTTGTGGAGATTGTGAGGGATAAGTTTCCTTGAAGAGTAATCAACGCCTACGGACTGTCTATTATGTGCAAACACAGAGACAGAGATATAGTAGCATTGACAGAGGATTTTGCAGCAGCATATCTCACTACCTCAAGACCCCTCTGACCCTGTCCACGGTTTCCTCGTGAACAGAATTTACGCTTCTTTTCATCCCATCGTTTAATCTCTCCAACAAAAACTCCAAGAATGTCCCAACGGCTATCTTTCCTCTCGCCATCCACATTTCTTGCCTTCGAATGCATTGATAACCCCTGCTGCCTCAAGCCCTCATCTCTAGCTGGAATAGGAGCTCGAGTTTGATTTTGAAGGGCTCGCTTTGATTTTGAAGTGTTCGCCTTTGAAGTCGAATCCGTTAACACTTGGTGAGATGTTCGGATAAGAGTTTCAACCGCACCATTGCAGACAGACGACACCATGTCTCTCACTTTGGTTTCATGCTTGGGGCTAGTTCACCCAGAGAGGATGTCATCATAGGTGTGGATACAATCGCCAATCAAGACTCTGAACTTTTCGCCTGAAACCACATTCACCCATCTCGGAACATCGTTCGTTTCTTGACACATAATCGCCAATACTCGGGGAACTGTTTCCGCCACACTTGCCATCTGCATACAAAGCTAATACCAAATTCCTAGAAAAACTTCCAACAACAGAAGCAAAACCCGACCCGGCCTTGGTAAAAAGCTTATCCATAACCTGGCCTGTAAAGCTTGAACCACCAGAAAGTTCACCATCCCCATCACGTGCTGTTTTCGATTGATAACCCCGCAATACCCCCAAAGTTACAGCCTGTGTGACCGTAACAACAGACTCCGAAAACTCATCACACCTAGCGATTTTCGATAATTGCTTCAAACTATATTCGGAATTTTATCAGAAACTAAAGTCCCTAAAGGCCTTAAACTTCTCTTTCTTTTCTGAGATACTGAAGGAAAATGATAAACCCTATACACACCATAACCGGAGAAGCCTAAAGCGGCCGCTACAACGAGCCACTTCTTCCTTTTCAGGGCTATTGTATTTTGTGAATGGTATATTCATCATAAAACAATCAGGTACAAGAGATAGCAATATATATGTGCTAGAGGGAAGAAAACAAGACTACCTATCCCTCCTTGATTTACGTCTAAAGCTAACAAAAAAGAACAAATAAGACACATCCCTTGAATTAAGGGAATTGACAAGACAAATAAGACAAATTGAGGAAATTGACAACAAGAGACACATCCCTTGAATTAAGGGAATTGACAACACTATCTATCACCCTAAAAACCTTTGTACGGTGAACATGCAACCTAACCTAACCCTAGTTGCCATTCTTTCTTCCGATACTCCCCCTCAAGTACTAGGATCAAAGGGATTAATTGATCCAAGCTTGAACAAAAGACGTTGAAAATCAGCAGAGGGTAATCCTTTTGTGAAAATATCCGCAAGTTGATCATGACTGCGCGTGTAGTGAGTGTCGATCACCTTGGACTGAACTTGATTTCTGACGTAGTGACAATCAACTTCAATATGTTTAGTTCCCTCATGGAATACAGGATTCGATGCAATGTGCATCGCGGCCTGATTATCACAGTGTAGGGACATGGGTTGTTGATGAGGAAAACCTAAAGTCAACAGAAGGCTTTTGAGCCAAATAAGTTCACAAGCAGTGGACGCCATAGCACGATACTCTGCCTCTGCACTAGAGCGTGCAACAACACTTTGTTTCTTGCTTTTCCAGGTAACTAGGTTGCCTCCCACAAACGTACAAAACCCAGCGGTAGACTTGCGATCGAGAGAATTGCCTGCCCAGTCAGCATCGGTATAGCCTGAGATCTGAGTGTGACTATTGTTGCGCATAAGAATTCCTCTACCAATGGAACCCTTAAGATAACGTAGCACACGATGAACAATCTTCAAATGATCCATGCTTGGAGAGTGCATAAACTGGCTAACAATGCTAACAGCATATGATATATCAGGACGTATGATAGTTAGATAAATGAGTTTGCCAACCATTCTTTGATAGTAACTTAAATTGGGAACTGGATCACCGTGAGTTTTTAGCTTCAAGTTGCTATCCAAGGGGGTATGAGCAGGCTTGCAATCTGTCATTTTTGCTTCGTGAAGAAAATCCATGACATACTTGCGTTGGTTGAGGAAGAAACCCTTGTGAGAGTGTGCCATCTCGATGCCCAGAAAGTATTTGAGAGTGCCAAGATCCTTGATAGCAAACTTGTTGATGAGATACTGTTTAAGAGCATTAATCTCTGACATATTATCACCTGTCACAATTAGATCATCAACATAAATAAGCACAACTAGTTTACCCACTAAGCTGGAACGAACAAATAGGGAAGAATCCGCAATACTTCGACAAAAACCAACCCTTTCCAAAACATGACTAAGCTTGGCATACCATGCACGTGGACTTTGCTTGAGACCATAAATGGATTTATGGAGTTTGCACACCATTTCTGGATTGTTTGATTGAGGATGACCTGGGGGTAGCTTCATGTAAACCTCTTCTTCAAGTTCACCATGCAGGAAAGCATTTTTAACATCCATTTGAAAGAGAGGCCATGCATTGTTAATTGCAACCGACAACAATACTCTAACAGTGTTCATTTTTGCCATCGGAGCAAATGTCTCTTTATAATCGACGCCATAGGTTTGTGTAAAACCTCGAGCAACCAAGCGAGCCTTATTCCTTTCGATTGTGCCATTTGAATGAAACTTAGTTTTGTACACCCAACGACTCCCCACTGCCTTCTTTCCTTTTGGAAGTTTCACTATAGTCCATGTGTTATTTTCATGGAGGGCTTGAAGCTCCTCTGCCATAGCATTTCTCCACTCACTGAAGATTGGCTTCTTGAAAACTTTGAGGTTCTCGAGCTTCATTAATGGCACTTAGGAATGTAGCAAAAGAAGATGAGACTTTGCTATAATCAATAACATCAGTCACGGGATACCTGGCAGTGTAGGTCACATAATCATGCAACTTGGATGGAAGTTTCCTCTCTCGTGCAGGATTGCGACGAACTGTAGGAGATTGAACTACAGGTATTTGAACAACATCATGGTTGGAAGGATCACTGGAGGGTGCAGTGTGAATCTCCGATGAGGAAGGGTTTTCATCTTCAAGATGTTCCACCGAGTGAAGGTTAACATCATCCGGCACATGATCACTAGGAGTGCATGTTGCATCTTCTCCGTTTGGATATGGAAAAGGAAATAAGTCCATCAAATGCTCCCCCTGTCTAGAGTAATCCAGTGATTGTGAGAAGTAAGGAACATGTTCTTCAAATTTAACATCCCTTGAAACAACCATTTTTCTAGTTGTTGAATTATAGCACTTGTAACCTTTTTAGGTAGATGAATAACCTAGAAAGACACATTTGGCAGCCCTTGGGTCTAGCTTGTCACGATTTTGAGTTTGAATGTGAACAAAGCATGTACACCCAAAGACTCGCAAATGGGAAAAGTTGATCTTTCTATTTTTCAAGACCTTATAAAGTGATTTAAAATTCAACACTTTACTAGGCAATCTATTGATGAGATATGCCGCAGTAAGGACTCCTTGAGACCAAAACTTCTTAGGCACATTCATGTGAAACATAAGAGCTCTAGTCTTCTCAAGTAGATCTCTATTCTTCCTCTCGGCCACCCCATTTTGTTGAGGTGTTCCAACACAGCTTGTTTGGTGTAATATACCATGCATGCTCAAGTAGTGTGACATGTTATGAGACATATATTCTGTGCCGTTATCTAATCGTAAAATATGAATTTTTGAAGCAAATTGGGTGGCCACAAGTCTATGAAAATCTTGAAAAACTTCCATCACTTCACTTTTAAATTTCAAAAGATACAACCAAGTAATCCTTGTGAAATCATCCACAAAAGTTACAAAATATTTGTATCCATCAAAAGACTCTATAGTTGGTCCCCAAACATCGGAATGCACGATTTCAAAAGGGTTACTAGCCCTAGACAAAGAGGAAGTAAATGGTAATCTAGTAAACTTAGAAAAATGACAAACATCACAAGGACTTGTAACTTTGCACATATTTGGGAACAAGGTGGATAGAACTTTTTTAGAAGGATGTGCTAGACGTTGGTGCCAAAGTTGTTGTTCTTGAGCTAAGCTTGAAGTGACTTGAAAAACCTTGGGAACTTAAATATGCTTGGAAAGATAGTAGAGACCATTTAAGAAAAATCCTTCACCAATCGTCTTCTTGGTGACTACATCCTGAAAGATCACATTTTTGGGAGAGAAAATGGCAAGACAATTTAATGAGTTTGTGATCTTGCTAACAGATAAAAGTTGAAAAGGGAATGAGGGAACATAAAGAGCCTCAGACTCGACATCACTTGAGATCAAATGCATTTTTCCTTTTCCCACAACCATAGCATTTTTTCCATTGGCAACTGACACTTGAGATGGAATAGAAAATTTTTCAAATTTATGCAAGTTTGTAGACTTGTTAGTCATATGATCAGTGGCTCCAGAATCTATAATCCAATAATCATGCACATTACCAATGTTGAGAGCAGTTGAGAAGGAGTGTAAGATACCTGGGATGTCCCTTTGTACCACGCCTTCATTTCCAGCCAGGAAGCCAGCAAACTGTCCTAGTAGTGCAGTTTGATTGTTGTCACACTGATTTAGTGGTCCTTCACTATCTCCAAGACCTTGTTTCTTGTGAAGAAACATAGCAAACTCGTTGATCAGTGCAGCTGGATTAGTGGTGAACTTCAGTGCTCCATCAGAAGAAGTTGTGGCAACATGATTTGCCTTGTAAGAAGGGTTGTACGAGCCTTTCGAGACACCTTTGTTATCCCTAGGAAACTTTGGTTTTAACTCTGGATGAAGAATCCAGCATCGGTCTCTTGAGTGCCCACCAGCATCACAATGGCTACATTTTAAGCCAGTTTTCTTTCCTTTGTAGCCTCTCTCCTCACCAAGTATTTGGTTAGAGAAGTAAGCCCTAGCTTCTGGTATATTTGCCTTCATGTCCAAAGTCATGACTTTCCTTCGAACCTCTTCTCTTTGAATTGTGGCACACACACTTGAAAAAGAAGGCAGGTCGGGATTCATGAGGATATGGCTTCGAAGATCTTCGAATTCAAGGCTCAGGCTTGCTAGGAGTTGGAATATTTTGTCTTCCTCAGCTCTTTTAGTTAGCACAGCAGCGTCGATGGTGTGTGGTCGATACACATTCAGCTCGTTCCACATAGTGGTCAGCTTTCCAAGATGTTGCACAAATGGCTTCCCTTCCTGTTGCAAACCAGCAATGTCCTTCTTTAACTGAAACACTCTAGCCGCATTGTTCTGATTTCCATACATTTCCTTGAGATTTTTCCAAAGAGTCATGGAGGATTCAGCATAGCTAAAAATTTCTGCAATCTTACGATCCATGGAATTGAGTAGCCACGACATGACCAACTGGTCTTTGCATAGCCAAGCATCATACTCCGGTGAGGTAGTCTCAGGCATTGGAATAGCACCATTAACATAACCAAGCTTTGATCGTCCTCCCATAGCAAAAGAAACTGCTATCTCCCATGGAAGATAGTTAAACTCATTTAGCAAGACAGAACTAAGACGTTGATTTGGGTTGATATCAATATCTGAGTGTGGTGATGGTGGAGTAGCATGAAAGCCGTCTCCTTCCAAATTTACTAAGCTTTCTTCTGCCATGATTGAAGGACAAGAAGCTCACAAATCTCTCAAGAGAACACCACAGAGATAGGGCGGTTAGGGTCACTGCTCTGATACCATATTGTATTTTGTGAATGGTATATTCATCATAAAACAATCAGGTACAAGAGATAGCAATATATATGTGCTAGAGGGAAGAAAACAAGACTACCTATCCCTCCTTGATTTACGTCTAAAGCTAACAAAAAAGAACAAATAAGACACATCCCTTGAATTAAGGGAATTGACAAGACAAATAAGACAAATTGAGGAAATTGACAACAAGAGACACATCCCTTGAATTAAGGGAATTGACAACACTATCTTTCACCCTAAAAACCTTTGTACGGTGAACATGCAACCTAACCTAACGCTAGTTGCCATTCTTTCTTCCAATAAGGGCAAATTCGACACCGTTTTTCGCTAATTGCAGGTCCATCAAGAATTCGAAAATATTCTGATATCTGCTTCAAAATTTCACCAGCTATTTGGTTTAGTTGAGAAAAGAAAGCATCAAGATTCTGTTATTTCATGGATAGCAAACACAATGGTCATTTGGGTTTTTCAACAAACTGTTGAGGGTCTTTTTATCCCAAGTTGCAAGACTATGTCACGGAGAGAGAGTCGAACCTGTGAAAGTGAGAAGGGGATGTGTTATGAATTGTAATTGATTTCCTTGATTACACTTTAGTTAATTGAATTAAGGGTGTAGTCAAACTCGGATTTGAAAAGATTTTAAAGGACTTTAAAATCGTAGTGTAGTCAACTAAATGATTTTAAACCCAATAAACCGAAAATGTGGGAGGTTTTGAGCTTGATGCTCCAAGCTAGTGAGTTTGCTTGAGTGTGGCCACAGGCAGGGTGAAATTCCCCATAGCCTCTTTGGGCCCAGAATGGATAGATAATCATGGTTTGCCACTAGTTGTCCCTCTTTTTAAAAGAAAAAGAAACATTAAAAGATTTTAAAGGATTTTAGAATCCATGCAAATCTAGGTGTAGTCCATTGAGATTTTATTAGAGATTTTAAAGTCCATCTAGATCTAAGTGTATTCAGAAAATTAAGATTTTGAAGGATTTCAATAAGTTGTGGATTTTGTGGGATTTGAGAGCAATAAGTATATATAACCAAGACCAAAAAGAATCCGACCTCACCACATAGGATTTCAAATATTTTTCCATCTGGGCAGTCCTCAAATCTCTACCAACCCCAGCCACACAGATAGTGACGCAGACAAGTCGACGAACACCAATCAAGAAATGTTGCATGACTATTGCCTCTAGCTTCTCTAAAAATGTTGTCAAAATTGATGGCGAAACAAATTCCAACGACAAGGATGGGGATGAGGCTGATTTTTTGAAGGTTGTTGCAATTGTCGGCGAACTGAACATTTGCTAAATAAATTAAAAAAACAAATTGAATGAACAAAATAAAGGGCATGCTTTGATGATGGTCGTTGGTGTCGTAGGCAGTGCAAAAAAATTCACCATAGATTGTTGATGTATCAATTGAGAGAGAGATGGAGTTGTAATGGTGTGAAAGGGGACACGAAGAAGGAAGGGATAAAATGGCTATCAAGTATAGAAGGTCAAGGGAAAAAGAGGTTTTTTTATTTTATTTTTTAAAGAAAAACATTATATGAAAATCCACCACAATCCATCAAAATCTACAAACCAAGTCCATCTAATTCTTTAAAATCCGGATGTAGTCAATTAAGTTTTAAAAGAAGATTTTAAAAGACTTTGAAATCATGGTGTAGTCAACTTAAGATTTAAGAGGATTTTGAAGAATACATTCAAATCCAGCGGTAGTCGATTAGGATTCTAAAAAGTCCATTCAAATATGTAGGTATTTGAAAATGTCATAGATTTTGAAGGATTCCTTCTTCTTTTTTTTCTTTTTTGGTGAAAAGTTGTTTTATTCCAACACAATAATTACACAAGAAAAGGCCTAGATACATACACATAAACAAAAAGAAGGACCTCAGAAGCAACTAAAGAGTCCAAAACAAAGAAAACATTGAAACAAACCCTAGCCGCTTCAACCCGTCGTCGCCAAAAAGCCGCTTACCAACCAACAGAAACGAACGTTCCCTGCACACACCTGAAAACAAGCTGAACAGAGCCCCAAAACTAGAAGAAAACTGAGTGAAAACAGAACCCCAAAATAAATCCCCAAACATCGCCAAGCACCACACCGGTAGCTGCCATACATCGAAAGAAGCTAGTAGGAAGAAGCAACAAAGTGAAACCCAAAACGAAGGAAGCCAATGGGAAAGAGCAACGTACTAGCAACAGTGCCATCAAAAGCAATCCCAAGGAAGGAGGTGGTGTGAACACCCGAGCAAAAACTTTACACACCTTTAGGGTAAAACGCGAAAAATTGCGATACAAAGATGTCGAAGCCAAAGCAGGATGTGAAGTTGAAGAAGAATGGGGCTGATTGGGTTAAAGATGGAGTAAAGTGTTGAGGAAAGTGGAGGAAAAATGAGAAAAAGATGGAGAGAAGATGCAAGAAAGGGAAAAAGGAAGAAACGGTAGAAGGAAAAAAAGGGAAAAAAAGTGGAAGGAAGGAAGAAGGAAAGTGGAAGGGAGAAAAAAGGGGGAAAAGTGGAAAGGAAGTGGAAGGGAGAAGGAAACCAGGGAAAAAAGGGGCTACAGACAGAGAAATCAAGGGCACAAGAAGTTGGAAAAAAGTGGCGATCAGGCCCTTGGAGAGGGGGAAACAGAAGCTCAGGGAGAAGGAAAGGAAAAGAAAAATGGGAAAGGAGAAGAAAATGACTGCCACTGACCTTGGCCATGGCTAGGGTCGGCGGCTGCGGAAAGGACGAAACGGGGAACACTCAAACACTAATGAGAAAGGCTCTCACAAGGAGAGAAAAGCTCTCACAACTGGAGAGAAGCTTTGTAATTTTTACATGGGCTTTTGGAGGGATTTCTTTAAGTAAAGGATTTTGTAGGATTTAGGAGTGAATTTTATGCATAACAAAGGCTACAAGAATCTCATCTTCCCCCTTAGGATTTCTTTTCAAGCTTCAGTTTGACTTTTCTCTCCCAAGTCGATATAAGCACCAAATTGAACTCTGGGACCTTTCTTCTTTATTGTGTTCTTGGGTCCTACTCTTTCTTGGTATGCATTTGTTAAGTGATCAATTTCCATTTCTTTTAATTTTTTTTTATAGATGATTTTTCTGAAGATTATGGTTTGTGGGTTTTTCTCCTTTGATTTCAAAAACTATTTGTGAACAGTATGAGGTTTTTGTTGCGTGAAAAGTATGACGGTTTTGTTGTTGATTTTACGACACATCAAGCATTAACAATTGTTTATGGGGACACTTATGACCTCTCACCCACTTTTCTTCACAAAACCAACATTCCCCACGCTCCTTATTGCGTTGGACTTCATCGGGAGTTAGCTTCTTATAAGGGATAGTACTTATTCGTGGTCTATTTGGTACATCAGTGGTCACTGGAGGGACTGCAGGCTTAGAAGTGAGAGCTACTTGAGAATTAGTGTTTCGACTATCACTAAGTTTATGATCAACCTGAACAGCTAGAGCAATTGCTTCATGCACAGTGATAGGTTTAAACAACTTAACCTCATGCTTGATTTCCTTCTTCAACCCACCCAAGAAACAACTCTTCAAAAGAATAGGACCAACATCAGAGGATCGAGTACCAAGCTTACGAAATTCAAGGATGTAATCCTTCTGGCCTTGTTTGGCAGCTCGGACTGTACTGACTATTTATGTCGGATAGGATAAATAGCCACCGGATGGTACTGACTAAATTAGTCAGGCGTTTGGTGCAGTATCAGACTAATGACCGTATTATTTATACTGTGTTTGGTATTATACTAGATAGGAGGAATCAAACTTAAAATAAAATTTAAAAAAAAAAGTGAAATCATTTTTTTGTTCCCAGATCTCTCCGCACCCCCCAAACACCCTCCCTCTTTCTCCCTTTTTCTTCCCCGACTGCAGAAGAATCCCAAATAATTGTTCCCCAGCTCTCTCCGCCATACCCCCCCAAACTCCCTCCCTTTCTTTCCCATATTCTTCTTCCCCGACTGCAGAAAAATCCCAAATAAATTCAAATAGCCAGTTGCAGAAAAATCCCAAATTGAAATCATCTCTCCGCCGCACCATGTTTCTTTGCAAGACCCAGTTGCAGGGGAGGATGGCAAGTAGGTGATGAGGAAGGCCATAAGGAGAGGATGACGAGGAAGGTGACGAGCACTAGGAGAGTAGAGATGGCGAAAGAAAGCGGCGCAACAGAAGGCGATAGGGAGGACGGCGATGGTGAGAGAAGGCGACGGGGAGATGACAATGCTGACATAAGGTGACTGGGAGGACGACGATGGCGAGAGAAGGTGACGGGGAGAACAACGATGCCGAGAGAAGCGAGAAAGAGAGGGTCAAGTTCG